GAGAAGCCTGCAAAATTACATCAAGTGTTAGTATAATCCAACAAATGCCACAAACACAACAAGAATCTCACATACCTTATCTTTAGCATGGTGTCTTGAATTGTGATCAGCTTGCCCACAAACACGACAATGCATGATTCTTTTCTTTGCCTTTGGCTGCTTCTTACTAGGAGACTCATTCAAACCCTTTTTCCTTTTTTTCTCAGCTTTTGTCATCTTGTTGTCTTCTCCTTCTGGTGACTCAGGCACATGGACTCTAGGCCTATGACTCTCAGGCCAGAACTTAGGTCCTCTTTGTGGACAGACGCCATCCGTGTAGTTTCTTTTCCACATTGCTGTCCTGAACCATTGACACACAAAGTTCTCAGGTTCAAGCTTCTTGTAGAGAATGACTCCATATGCATGCTCACACGGGATGCTACAGATCTGCCACTTCCTGCATGTACAAGTGTATGCCTTTAAGTCTACTCGGTGATAATCAGAACCATGCCTCACTTCATACATTCCATTGGTGCTTGTAGATACTTTGGCAGTAGAAGCGAGCTTGTGTTCACCAGCTAGAAACTTGGCAACATAAGGTGTACATGCACCTGCAAAAAAAGATATAAAAGCTGTCAAGTAAACAACAAAGATTAAGTAAACAACAGAGATTAAGAGAGAAGCTTACCTGTGTGAGTATGGGATTCTACAGACCTTTTGGCAATCCTTACCATGGCCATTCTTCTGATAGTCTCTAACATTGCAACAAATGGCTTCTCTCTTGCCTTGTTCAAAGATCCATTGAAAGACTCCACTGAGTTGTTGTCAACATCCTCACAGAAGCTGCCTACTTTCTGGAATGCCCTGGACCAACTCCTTGGATTTGTTTTCATCACATCATTGTAGATAACACTGTCATAGCAGAATATCTTCTCCAAGTGCTGCTTAAAATCTTTTTCATTATAGGCCCAAGCCAAATTCAAGAGCAGTGGCTTTATCCTGGTTTTACTACCATGAGTCTTCTTTAAGTTCCCATAGATGTGTTGGACACACATCCGATGCTCTATATTAGGTAACTCAAGCTGAACAGCTTTGATTAAACCCTGAAACAAAAAAAACAAACATTAGCTAAGACAGGAGTGAAATGACAAAACAAAACAACAAAAGACAAGAGCAGTTACCTTTTGTCTATCAGACATCATGATGAACCCTTCACCATTGCTTAAACCCAAGTCCTCTTTCAACAGCTTCACAAACCAAACCCAATTGTCTGTGTTCTCTACCTTAACCACACCCCAAGCTATAGGATAGATCCTATTGTTAGCATCCCTACCTAATGCTACCAGTAACTGTCCCTTAACCTTATTCTTTAGAAAACAGCCATCAATACCTATCAGAGGCCTACAAGAATCCTTCCATGTTCTTCTAAGGCTGTCAAAACAAACATAGAACCTATTAAAGATGTCTTTACCATCATCAGTCGTCAGACAATCTACCTCAACATGTGACTCCTTGTTTGAATCTACAATCTCAGCCGCATAGTCCCTTAGCCTTGCAAATTGATCATCATACTCCTTCTCAATCCACTGTAACGCTTTCTTCCTCGCAGACTGACATTGATTCCTAGTCACACTAATCTTCCATTGTTCCAAGATGATTTCTTCAATCTTTGCCGGCATGTAGAACTCGGGATTATCCCTAATCTTGTCGACAAACAACCTAGCTATATGAGGCACCTTAAACATCTCACATTCTCCATTTGGGATACAGCTATGTTTGTCAATGAATTTCCTAATCTTCCACATTTGATCCTTCGGAAGTATTGCCGCATAAACTTGCCATTCACACCGAGCTCCATCCTCCTTACCATCATTTCCAACACATTTGAATCCAATCTTATCACTATCATACCTGTACTGCTTCAGATTGCATCCGGTTCTGAGAGCGTAATCAACAACCGCCTCTTTGAATGCAACTCCACTGAAGAAACTCTGCTTCGAGTACAAATGGCCATCACCACGCCTTACATGTGTATCAAATCTTCCAGGTTCGTCGTCGTTTTCTTCATTCTCACTCTCCGGGTACACATCGTGGCGGATTGGTGGTTCGTCGGTCCACTCCCTTAGCATCTCTTCCATGTGAAATTCATCTCTGTCATTAGCTTCAGGATCGACATCGCCGACGGCTTCGGCTTCGCCGAGAACATCAGGATCATGAGGAACTACCGACATCTCCAAGATTTTGAGCAGCAGATCGAAGAGCTTCGATTTTCGATTCTGAGTTTCTAGGGTTCGTCGAGAAATTTCGTTTTGGGGTTAAGTGAATGAAATCGGGTTGTAATCGGGTAGTAATTAGGTTTATTTCGGTTCGAATTAGGTTTAGTCGGTTTAATTAGGTTTCGATATACAGTAAACCGAGTAAACCCAGCACGATGGGGTTATACATCTCCAGCTTTCAGAATCGGGGAGATTAAGATATCGAACTTCCAATTAGGGGAGAAATAAGTGTTTAACTTCCGTTTCATGGACATATAGACAGAGGTCAAAGAACGGGCTTTATCTGGCGTGATAAGCATACTTCTCATGGGGAAATAGACCGTTTTTCATTGGTTAAGTCAAACTCAGTGCTGGTTTTCGCATAATATTTATTAATTCAAATATGAAATTTGAATTTTATAACGGTTTAGGGTAAAAAAATACTTTGCAATGAAGATTATGTATGTGGCAAAATGTTTGAGTTGATTTTAACCGTTTTCCCAATACGTGATGATTTATTCTCGCTAATCTCGTTCATTATTCTCACTCTAGCCTGAATTCAGACATCAGATATTTCTCAGTCATAGTCTCATGTATCAGCCATTTTTAACAGTCTTGATAAAAAATGATTTTTTTAACTCTAGGTGTGATGATGTATCGTTAAACACAAAACAGAGATATTACATTACAACATCTGAACACAAAAATTAAAGAGTGATTTCTTTCACAACTTTTACATACCAATTCGGTTATTTAGAAATGTTTTCCGTAGCGGAGTTTAGCCTTCCAGGATTTGTTTCCTTTCGACCTCGATGAATTGTTTGTTTAGATGATAGCTTTTGGTGGCATTTTGGGTCTCATTCTCTCCCTTGCATTGCAGCAACTGCAATTGAAGACTCCTGACAAGCTCATTTAGCCTCTGGATATGTCTCTCTTGTGATATGATGATCTGTAAAAAACAATGAACTTTGCGGTTAGATTTGACGCTTCCCCTGAGAACGACAGATTAATAGTAGCCGAGCCTGATACAGAAAACACACCAAAATAAGGGCAGCCTTTTGGATTCTTTAGAATATCAGCTTTTTGTAGATGGTGACTGAAAATACCTAAGTGAGAACCGTCCTAAGAGCAGATGAAGTAAACAATTATCTGAAACTAACCTGGAATGTGTTATTAACTTATTATAGAGATGAAAAAGAGCACAAGACCATAACTAATATCATGTTGAGTCCCGAAAGCTATGATCTACCTAATCGTTCTACCTAACCTCATTTAAACTCTTGGATTTGCAGCTACTATAATTGTCATTGTTGTCTAAATGAAAACTTTTGATCCTAGCATTGCTACTCATTCCTGATCCACATAAATAATGATAGCCTCAAGATGGATTAGCAAGGGAAGATGTAGATTACTAAGATAGAAATTGATAGAGAATACATTGAGGTCAGGACTAAGCCAAAACCTAAGGTTACTCAATGAAATGCAACTGGATCCTTGTGGTACTAAAATGTAAGATCAAAGTAAGTTATGTCTAATTACAGTCTTATAGATTTCAACTTCTCTCAAGTATATTATGCATCAGAGGAAACCCACCAAGCAATCCAAGCAAACTATTCAAACACATTCTGAAGAAATCTTATTGAAGAATTCCATACACAACTGCAGAGAGGTATAGAACAAGACACGAAAATCTATCCAAGAAAACATTTAGAATCGTAGAAAGTCCAATAAAAGGTAATCAATGCAAAGAATAAAGTCAATTCATAAACAATAGATCCCATGGTAATCAATACACCTTCTAAGACAACAAAACAAGGATTAAAAACTGATTTAATGGATGCATACATATGAACCTTAGGTATGCCGCCAAGCAACGGATATATAAAGATGAAGCTAAATCATCATGACACTACTACATTTAGGCCATAAGGTCACTATCTCAAAACTATTTCATGTATTTTACATACAACTAAAAATCTCTTCTTCTAACGGGAAACACACAGAAAAATGCATGAAAGAGTTAGGAACCAGTGCTTTCCAATTGGATCCTTATGGTACTAAAATGTAAGATTAAAGAAGTTATGTCTAAAATAGTCTTCTAGATTTTCCACTCCTCTCAATTATCATATGCATAAGAGAAAACCTACTAAGCAATCACAACCACAGAGACTAACAGAATAAGACACGAAATCCAATCCAAGAAATCGTTAAAAATTGCAGAAATTACCATAAAAGATAATCAATGCAAAGAACAAAGTCGATTAAAAACCAACAGATACCATGGTAACCAGGACATTTTTCTCAGGGGGTTAAAAACTGACTTAGCTGATGCAAACATATGAACCTTAAGCATGACGCCAAGTAACAGATACATATGAACCATAAGGTCACCATCCCTAAACTAGATGTTGCATACAACTAAAAAAGCTTGTCTTCTAAAAGGGAACACACGGAAACGCATGAAAGAGTTGGGAATCAGTACCTTCTCTTTGACAGCTTCTTCCCTATCTGAAATTTGCTGCTGTTTCTGAGACGAGCTGGTGGCTGTATCTAACTCAACAAGTGGTTGCCTCCATTCAAACTGAGAGGTAACTATAAGTATAACTAGTAGACCCACGAGCAGGATCGGTTTCGACATTGTTACTTCAGTTGCTTAAAACACCTGCCCCAAGAAATTAGCCAATTTATAATCCAATACACTATTTACAAGCCTACCAACTCAAAAACTACACATTTCCTTTATAATTCACCACTCACCAGCTAATGTGATTGGATTCACAAAGCAATTTAACTATTTTCTAGGCAAAATCAATTTTAACTACTAAAAAAGAAAATAATTCTCATCATTAGCAATTTAAATTTGAAAGTTTCTAAAATCTGCAATTACTAAAGTCAAGCAATAACATATTTAAGACCTATCAACTAGGGCTTGTGAAGAGACGACGATGCATCAATCTCTAAGATAAAAAGATTCGATTTTTATTGTAACCATTTTCTCAGAACCCAAAACAATGAAGACCCAATGAAGCGATTAAGATGATCTTTAAACTTACAAATCGAATTTGACCAGAGGAATAACCAAACTTCATGATCGAACTCTTCCTCCGTTTGGGGTCCAGGAATGGTGAAATTGAAAGAGATCTTTCAAAAATCGAATATTGAGATCAAATTCGCAATCAGAGACACCGAAATGAGAGTTTTGTGTTAGTAGAGAAATGCAAAAGCTGAGGTTTTAATTTGATGCTGATGATGATTGATGAATTGCGTAAAAAAAAAAAGAAAGAGGACTAAATGTTTCAACTTATTAGTAATTTTACCTTTAACTTTCGAATGGTCCCAAATACCCATAGTTCCCTATCATATTCATACACACATTAAGTCACGGATAAAAAACAATGTTTGATGACTAAGCTGCCATTAAACATGGTAGTCGAACTGTCTGATCGGTTAACTCACGATCCGGACATCTTCTCGGTTTGAATTTACTACTAATATCCTACAAATTTTAAAATTGGAAAACCTCACAAAAACTCGCTATTAACCCGCGATCCGGGGAACCTGTAGAACTGGCCATCTATCGGTTCAGAAAAATCATTTGATTTGGAATAAAATATAGATATTTAGACTTTTAGTATTAGTGTATCACTATTCAATATTTAGTTATTTTTATAACTTTTTCAGTTCACTATCCTGCTATCTTAATATTTTTTTTATGGTTTTTCAACATTTTAATTATTTTTTTATTATTATTGTTAGATTTTTGTATTTTGTTAAACATGGTATAGTTATATATTAAATAAATTTTAATCAATTAATCTGTAGTCAAACCGATTAACCCAGTAATTCGATGATCCAGAAGGTAGTCCGGTTCACCGTCCGGGTTAGTTTAAAAACATTTGAAAAAGATAGGAAACATTAGTTGAGGAGACAGAGATAGGAAGTTTCATAGACTAAATTTAGACAGTCCATTTATATGATGACCACTGTAGAACGAATTACTTGCAACTCACCTTGTAGCCGTTATTAGTTATGTACCCGCTTTGGTTTTAGTATTTGTAGTGGCCAAGATGAGTAGCAAGAAATAAATTTTTTATTAAAAGACACATTTTTTCACATCTCTTGTCAAACTGAAAACCCAAATCTTATTGAAAATAATGAATTTATAAAGATAGAAAATCTACCTTATACAGAATTTCATAAATCTACCTTATACAGAACATAGATCTCGAGAACCTCATAGGTTCATACATAGAACACATAGATGCTACACGTAAACTAAGCCTAGCAAGAACAACATCTTCTCTCAACATTAAGAAAAAACCAAGCAAACTGCCTAGAAGTTGTCTTCTTTGGCCTCACACTAAATAAAACACCAACACGGCTATCATAACCAGTAACCAAACAACAACGTCCCATCGCGCTCGGTTTATAGACTTAATTGAGTAGATACCGATAAAGCAATTTGACATGGATATGTTGTTTTCTTCTCCAGTGTCATTTTGTAATGGTAGTTTCTGTAGCAGGGATTGCATTTGTTTGTCTACCATGTCAGGTAAAGGTAGTACTCTTGTGGTGTTGGACTCTGTTTGAAGCCTTGGGACATTGGTCAGTGTATTACCCAATATCGCCGGATCATCTAGCTTTACTATTTCATCCCTCAGGATATCCGCATAGAAATCTTCTTCACTAGGAACCTTAAAACATGGAAAATTAATGGAAATCAGACCATCACCCTAGACATCAACATTTGGTGTATGCGCTATGTCAACCCACAAATGGATCACATGGCATACCCGTAAAAATATGTTAACAAATTATACTTGGAACTAAATAAAAGAGGACCAACCTGTGGATTTTGTGAAGATTGTGAAGATTCTGCTATTTCACTTAGTAGTTCCTGCCCTGACTCACTTGATAAGTAAAAATCAACCATATTTTCCCAACCAGAAATACTTTCTAAAATAGCTTCATTCTGCAAGTTTTCGGGCTTGTCAGACGATAAACTTGGCTGTGGTGGATTTTGAATTGTAGCCCCTTGAAATTCAGTATTCCTCCTAAGTCGGCAAATAACCAGAGCATCCTATATGTAACACTCAAGAAACTCAATAAACATAACATTATCCTATTTTCTAGTTAGTACTATTATGTGGCAATAAAAAGCTTCAAGAATCAGAAGATAGTTTACCAGTGATACTCCAATCATGCAATACTCATGCATAATCCATTCCGTCCTTCCACCTTTTGGCGCGCGGCCAATGTGGAATACAAGCGTCCTCTTTGTTCCAATGACCTCAGAACTCGACTTCACATTACGTTCCTTTCCTGTGGCTTTCCAATATCCCATCCTGGTTGCTCTTTTGTTCTGTGAACCATGGGGATACTTTTTACCACGAGCACAGAAGAAGAACCATTCACTATCCGATTTAACGATGGACTTATCTGCGAGAAACATATAGAAGAACTTGTTAAGAAAAAGGGGAGATACATTATTTTTTCTCTGACAATGGACAAGAAGATTTTGTTGAGCAAAGCCAACAGTAGCTCAATTGTCATAGTCCTGAACTTTTTTCATGCAAATATAAATTACTTTCCATGTGAATACTTACAAATGAAAGAGCAGTTTGTAGTGGTTCAACGCACAAAAGGGATAACTACAAGTAGGAGCAAATCAAGGACAGACATCAAGCAAACGTTGAAACAAAAAACACGTATGTTTTATTACTTTGATGCATTTAACTAATTGCATATTAGAAGCTACCAACACAAGCCAAGTAACCAAATCTTCAAACCAATCCAAGGTTTTGCTTCTTGGTTAAGTAGGTTTCCACAAATTAGCTTATCAGAAATATTGTACCACTAACATGAAGAAGAAGGTATGATATCACACATGTAACCCTGATTTCAAAAGGCGAAATAAATTCATATATATTGGAGTACTTTAACCTATTCAACGCCCTTACTTATTCTCCTATACACTAATTGCATAGAACTGGTAGAAGTTAGCCACATGATTAGATATCGGTACCACCACCGTGAAGCTAAGAAGAAGCCATGTTAATATGTTATCAAACATACCCAATTTCAAAAGGAGAAAGTTCATATTCTTGAACTTCTTCTTGGAAACACTGATAATCTGGTTCTATAAACCCCGTAGAAACTATCCGAATGACTAGAGGAGATCAACCGGATTCATGAATATACTATATAGTAAGCTTCATAGTCTAGGAGATCATATATCAATTCCCTAGAAAACAGTACTATATATATAGAGGATGGAACATGTAGCTCACCTAAATTCAAAAGTTCACATGGGGACTCAAGAATCAAAAAATAAAAAAAAATTGACATGGATATTTCCGGGGAAATGCTACAATTAATACCAAATTTGTCATCCGAGATTCCAACTATTTTTTTTTGCAAAAATAAGTAACCTAGGTAATAACGACATACCAAAATAGTAAGTTCTACGCTTTTTTTTTCCTTCCGACAAGAATAACCCAAATTTAGAAAACATGAAGATATAACTTTGTAAGAAGAACAAAAAGGGTAAGTCGGAGAGGAAACAAACCAGGCAAATCCCAAGGCTCGAAGTTATAAATATCGACTTCAGGTATAATCTCAACGGACTTCTCCAAACCATCCATCTTCCGTTTCAAGTAATAAGATATGAGTTCGATATCCGTCGGTGAGAATTTGAAGCCAGGGAACGCCGTCGTCACCGCCGGCTCAGCCGCCATATAAAAAGATAAGGGAAGAGAGATCAAAAGGGTTCTTGATTTTAGCTACTGAGAGGAATTGAGTAGTCAAAAAAATAAAACAAGATTCTTTCTCTCTCTCACTGTCTCGGGAATTGGAACCAGAGACCCTTGAAGAAACTATAAAGAGAGGCGATGATCAGCTGCTTCACTTACACTGACTTTCACTTCGTGTTTCTGTTTTTTTAACCAACAGTTGTTGCACAGATATTGACAATTCTACGTATCATTGCCACATCACCATACTACTCCTTGGGGTGGACACGGAGCAGATATCCGGGATTTTGGTAATATTTGTGATTCGATTCGCTTTTCGAATACTAAGTTTTTCGATTCGTATTTGCTTCGTTAGTGATCGGATATCCGGCTGTTCGAATATCCGTTAAAATCCAAACTATTTGCCGGATATTCGATCCGTTAAATATTTGTTTAAAAATAAATTAAAAGAATTAAATAAACAAAAAATTGATCCAAAAATAGTAAAATTTTGATAAGAAATATATCATTCTCCTTTAATTGTTCAAACTAGTAGTTCAAATAATTAATGCGGTGATTAGAAAATCATAAAACACATTCAAGAATAATGAAATTATAATTTATATATGTAATTATCTATATATATGTATGTATTCCGGAGCGGAGCGGATATCCGCCTCTTTAAATTATAGTATTTGATATTTGCTCCGCTTTTGACGAATACCTATTTTTAATATTTGATTTACTTCGTAAAGTTACGGATATCCGTATTTTTCAAATCAAATCAAATCGAATAACGGATCGAAGCGAATCTAACGAATATTTTGCCCAGCCCTTATACTCGTGCTCAATTTTATTTTATTATTTTCATTTATGTATAATAATTACTACTACCTCCGTTTCGTTTTAGTTGATGTTTTAGGACTTAAATTTTGTTTCGTAATAGTTGTCGTTTTAGGTTTTCAATGCAAATGTTTGGTAAAAATTGCAGTATTATCCCTATTGTTTTAATGCTTTGGCCAATGAAAAAATTTATAAGATATATTAATAAAGGGTAAAACAAAAAATTTAATGCTTTTCTTAATTTGTGTGAAAAAACCTTAAACGACAATTAAAACGAAACGGAGGGAGTACTTGTCAAATTTCAGATGATATATAAAATATGTAAATTTTAGTGAGTGGTCTGGGTTTCGGCTCTGATCATAGTTTCAAAGAGAACTGATCTTGTTGTGATTACTTTATTCGATTGTGGGAATGGCAAAGAGAAGTGAGATGTTTGATGAAAGATCAATCCTGGTTTAGGATCGGGTTTGGTTTGGTTTCAGTTTGATTTCGATTTGAATTTTTTGGTTTTTCGTTTTTTTGGTTTATGAAATTTTTTATCTATTATGAATGGTCTAGTTTGGTTTCAGATTCGGATGTCGAGTTTTAATCAAATATATCTTTAATTTTTAAAGAAATTTTGTTTGTTGATCTAATTTATTCAGTTTAGTTCGGAATTTGTTTCAATTTTTTACTTATAGAAAATATAAAATCCATTTGAACCATATTAACATATGATTTGGTTTCAGATTGAGTATTTCAGTTCGATTCGTTCGTAACAGATCGATTTGTTTATCGGGATTGAATACCCCTCGCGAGGAGTAAGCAACACTCCACAGCTACAGTTGAAAAGAATATGATCCCATTTCTTGCAGATAATTGATCGGACGTAGACTTGATAATAAGATCTGATTTTACACGCAAGTGCACACTTATTGTGTCGTATCATTAACTACATCAAATCCACAAGAAGTTAGAAATGAGTACACGGAACCTTTTTGATTGGTTTTGGTTTGCAATGACTAATCACATGATTTAAAAAGAAACCAAAAAAGTAACTATTAGGTCACAAGGATTCATGAATTCAGATCAGAACAAAAATTCACCAAAGAAGCAATAAATAATGTTTCTAGAAATTCGAACAGAAATTAGACTAACATTCTTGCAAAACATTAACCTTATGCATAAATGATATGATTTTTAAACCATGATTCCAAATAACTAAAATTGAACAAGCATTAATTCAGCTATGATATGTTCACAATACCCCGTAATATCTGAAGTTCTTTACACATCTAAAGTCTTTCAAACATTTATTCAAACACATTCAGTGCGTTTAACTACCTAGGATACCCAAAACCAGGTTTAAGTTCTTACTCTAAGATTAACTCAAATGAAGAAGCCAATTCATGAAATCATTAATCATCATTCCTTATATTTATCAAACCTTAAAATCCGTTCAGAAATCCTCGAAAACTCAACTATGAAACTACTCGCACATAGAAAATAGTGTAGCAAAAGAAAATATAGAAAAATAATAATGTATTAGAGAGATACATTATTATCTTTTCTATTGATTAGGGTTAAGAAATGTTCTCCTAATAACTTACAAATGCAAAAAAGAGGTACAAATCTCAATCAAATGAATGGTAGTCTTCTAACACTCGAATAGTGTTTGTGATTAGATAACTAACATTTGTCTCAGAGAATGTGACTAGTCAAACTGGGGTGATGTTCTAAACTAGATCAAACCCATTCAATCTTCTAAGCTTAAGTCATAGTGGGGACAATGTGTGATGTTCTAGGATCGGTCAAATGATGATCTAAGTCCAAGTCTATCATTTGATTAGATGAAGAGAAAGAAAAATTTTCCTCCACAGTGGCCATAGTCCAAGTGGGAGGAGGAGAAGTTATTCATCATCTGATTGATGAACCATTTTCCTCTATTTAGGCACTAGTACGCAAGCTAACGTATGAATGAGAGAGTTTGTTGAATCGATTGTCTAGATCAACCTTGATTTACTCGAATCCATTTCTTCTTTTTTCATGATTTGTCAGCGTATTGGTTAGGAAAACATGCTTTGCATGTTTATCAAAGCCGGCCATGGGTACAAGGCATACAAGGCAACCAAGCTGATGTATATGGCCGTCATAAATATATGTATTTAATCGGTTCCGATTATTTTAAAATTTCAAAAATTTATTAGTTATGCGTCTAGCCGGGCATGAGAGCCCAATAAAAAAGGACCGACTTGGAAACTGACTTCATACTTAGAAAAGAGATTTGGGTACAAACCAACGTTCCACATCGGAAGTTTAGAAAATAAAATATATAAGTAAAGTCTAACTCCAATTAGTATACGACCTTTTGGGAAAGAGTCCAATAACATATCTGTGTGGATTTGGGCACGTAGGCGTAGACCCAAAGCAAACAATATCATATTAATGAGAGTTGGAATGGGCTTAGAGAACCCAATAAAGATATGACATGTTCGAATTTATAAGTGAGCTTTTTCATTTCATTTTTTAAAGGAAAAATCAGCTTTTTTTCTCTAATCGGAGTCACCGAAATGATCAGGACACGCTATGATGTTTCATAATGCAAACGTTTTTCCGTACACATTAAATTTCTTGTTGGTATCATTATCATATGTCTAGGGCTCGGCTCCAGGAAACGTTATTCTAAGAGGCAAGCCATCAAGGCTGCATCCTAGTCTTTCCGGAAGGCCAAGAATTTTATCGGCTCGCCTACATATCGGGGTCATCTTGGTAGGTGAAAATTACCCGTAGGCCGTAACAAATATATTTGTTGCACGTTATGTGATATTTGTAGTAGATATTAAAAGAAAACATTATGTGACATTTGTAGTAGATGTTAAAAAAATGTTCTTTGTAGTCTTTTCGTTTTAATGAACATAGGGTTCAAAGAAAAACAAAATATCTGCAAAACTTTCTCTTTCATCAGTTCCTAATTTAAATTTTATTTATAATAAAATACTTTATTATAAATATTTTAATTTTATCTCTAATAAAATATTATAATAAAATTTCTTAATCGTCCCATAATTAATTACAGTCAATTTGTTAGATAGCATAAAATGACTGACATACAAAAATAGAAAAAAGGGAAAGAAAAAAATAAGAAAGAAAGAAAAGAAAAAGAAGATAGGATCATACCAAAATAGAAAAAATGCATGGAATATGGAGTAATAAATCCATAAAAGAAGAAATCCTTAGGTTTTTTCTTTTTATATTGATTTCAAGAAATGGTTAAGTATATTTTTTTTTAATGTGGTCAGTGTATTTGGCTTGAATTGTGTCCCATGTTGTTTGAAAACTCGGGTACTATTAACTGTAGCAAATATGGTTTGATAGCAAATATGATTTGATAACAAATATGCGGTAGAGAATCCCATAATCTTATCTTCTTACTTAATAACCATTGGTTAAAACCAAAAACAAAAGTCAGTATATATATTGATCCTCTCAAGTCTCTCGGTATTACCGAAGTAAAACAAGTCGTACGTCTAGTACAGAAAAAATGTCAACATTCGAAAACACAACTCCGTTTAACGGCGTTGCCTCATCCACCATTGTAAGAGCTACTATTGTCCAAGCCTCCACCGTCTACAACGATACACCGGCTACTCTAGGTAATCAATCAATCATTTTCCATGATTTTCATGTTTTAGCTATGTCAAATTTTTATGTAACGTTCTACTTGATTTTTGCAGCAAAGGCGAAGAAGTATATTGTAGAGGCTGCGAACAACGGATCGAAGCTGGTGGTGTTCCCGGAGGCGTTTATTGGCGGTTATCCTCGAGGTTTTAGGTTCGGTTTAGCTGTGGGTGTTTTTAACGAAGAGGGCCGTGATGAGTTCCGCAAGTACCATGCTTCTGCCATTCATGTTCCTGGTATCACTTCCCTGGATTCTCTGTTTATTTTTCTATTTTCTATTCTATGTATAAACTGATTTTTTTTTACATAACTTTTAACAATCAACAACTTTGATAAACGTAAATATTTTTGTGCTTAATTATCTGAGTATTCCAAGTACACAACCTGATCTCGGATCCCGATCTCTGATCCAATCATATCGGTCTGAAAAATAGAATTTCCAAATCTTGGTTTTAACATTTAGAATATATGAAAACTTGTTTGGACACTCATTCGTCCTCGATCCGGTATCCGACTCGTAACCTTATAGGTAAAAAAGTATCGGTTGCTTTCGGATCGTGGTAAATGGTGTTATAATTCTTTTATTTGCGAGTAAGGGGTCGGGTATTGGTTGTCGATTATGTTTCCAACTATTCGCCCCATATTCGTTTTAATTTTTTTTTAAATATTGCATTAGTATTCTTTACATAGGTACATATAATTATATAAACTCTTATTTAGAGAAAATAATCGTATAATATGAGTAAATTTGAAGTTTATATCATGTTCTTA